CTATAAGGAATTAAATGAGGGATATAATGACTTATAGGAATTGCGAGTGCAAACTAGGAAGTTTGAGAGCATTCATAGGGAAGTAGAGTGGCCTTCCAGGAAACGGAGAAGGTGTAGTGAGATAACTTCGGAGACTGACTCTATAGAGCAGGTGTGAATCGTCAGATGCCGTTTTCTTAGTATGATGGGAAATGAATTAGTTGGAAATTATTCGAATTGCTGCTTCTTTGAACGTGGTTATACGCTAGAATGTCATTTAACTTACCTGATTATAAGCTTTCTTCATCCTACCTCTACCTCTTGAAAAGGATTTTATTATCGAGATTGTAAAAATTACATTCTATCACAGAGATACAGCTCCACCAATGCTACTGTACTAGTATTCTAATGTTTATTCTGTGAGTTAGACGATATAAGGAAGAGAAAGGAGTAGCACATGATTATGAGACAACCATCGGAGCATGGGTGCCTCGCACTACCTGACACGCAACCCTCCTTATCGGTGATTGCAAATCATGGCTAAGGAGGGCTGAATAGGGCGGCGAGCCGCCAATGCCTAAGCCATGGACGCTAGGTGACCACCACCTTAGACAAGCTGTTGTATGTTTTTATGTTTTTTTCCCTATTTAAGGAACGGGAAGCATGTGTGTCTGCAGGCCTCCAAAAAGAAATGGACAGGCGTTTATATCAATTTGTGTTAAGGACCGAGGAGGAGGACAAAAGATGGTTGTTAGGATTTGAATGACATTAAGGAAATTTTGTTCATTATATATGTATGTTTCCTTGTCTTTATAGTATGGAGCATCGGCCACTTATTACGGTTTGAATAGATAGGGCTGTAGGCTGTACCAGCTAGGCTGATATGCCACCGAAAATCTCCGAACATAACAACACGTCGGACTAGCTCTATGCTCTACACGTATACTCTAGGTTAGGTCCTACGGTGTATATATTTTAAACCACTATTTTCTAGTAAGCGGCATGTCTATAGAGTCGGAACCGTAACAAACCATTTACTATTGCCATACGAGATTCGGATCTATTATTATAGCTAAGCCTAGGAACATTTGGCGGGACCCTATAAAAGGGAATCTATTGTAAAATTTGTCTTCGAGAGCATTTCTGTTAAGCCCACTAGGGAGAAAGGGCATCGGCAGGGCTGAAACGGCATAAGGATAGGCGGAGAAATCAAGAAAGCCGACTGGCCTGAATTCAGTGCAAGATCGTTCTCCATATTAGCCCGGCCTTCTACGCCCATATAAGATCATCCAATTGTTTATCAGAATAATGCTGAGAGTCTGCTGCTTTCTTTGCTTCCACCGATGAGCTCCTTGACTTTATCCAGATACCATGTGCCCTTGTTAGCGCTGCCATGCTTTGATTCAAGTTGTAGCCATCGGGCAGAGCATCTGCGCTACCACAGCTCAGTCGCGCGAGAAATGACAACAGCATTGTTGCCGTCAGAAACTCATGCTTCATGAAAGAGGAAGCTCGCCGTCGCATCATATAAAGCTGGCCATCTGCGCTGGTTTCTGTTTATAGTTTCACATCTCCAGAACACGATGGAAGACAAGAAATGTCGTATCAAACTCACATCCAAGACATTTATCATCAAAGCGCTAGTTCCGAGGTAGGTCTAGTGTGCTGATGACGGGGATAATTTAACCGGCTGATTGGTGGACATCCGCCCCCACCCCAGATTATACTGTGAAGATGAGAGAGGGCGGAGATTCAACGGGATTAAATATCGGAGATGAAAGACTCGGCATCTGTTTGAGGCAATGAATGGTTGATTCAAATTTTGGTCGATCGAAGTGATTGGCATGGGGATCAACGGTCGGATAATAAGACCTCACATGTGCCTCGAGAGATATTCGATCCGCCTGCTGAAGAGAGTAATGAAGGACCTGATACTTCCAGAATCAGAAAACTTTCCAAATCGAGCATCGGAGCTATCGATTAGTACACCCGCACGAGATCCCCGCCGCGTCAAGCTGAGCTAATCACTTTACCAACCGACGACGAACGGCAACCGCTGCTTCCACTTACTAGTTGCACGTTCTTTCCGAATTTACATCCTTCCATACGCTTGTCGCACCCTCCTGTACGATGGATTCACGCGCAGACCTCGCAATCGTCGAGTGGATTGAGACCTTACCAAGCAACCCCATAACATCGTTAACAATGGATGAGTCCGATTCCGCGATTCAAACACGTTTAAAAGGAAAGGGCAAACGTCCTGCAGAGCCAGAATTCCCGTCATCAATGAAGACTCGAAAGACGGAGTCCAGACAGGTCCATCGAGAGCCAAGCACGGCCATTACGATACCACCGCAAGCTTCAGCATCTGTCACCTTTGACGCCGACCAAGAAACCACCCCGCGGCGCACGAGTTGGGGGCAGTTCACGCCCCAGCGGCGGCCCAGTGCATCCGCCCAAAGCAGCCGGGCAAGCTCCCCCGATAGGAGTGTCAAGCAACGAGAACAGATGTCTGACTGGTATTGGCTAACAATGTCAATCCCAAAAGCAATCTTCGTCGACTGTATCAGTGAGGAGGCATCGTCTACTGCACCTACTCGACAGGCGGTCGAGAGGCTTGTTGACATCCTCGTTAAAGCTGCGAACAAAAGACAGTACCAAGGCAGCGCTACCGATATTACCACGATCCTCCAACAAGCCAATCGGGCCCGCCAGTGCCATTGGGTAGAGAGCAAATGGTACTCGGTCGTGCAGTCCATCTTCCAAGTCGCAATAGGCGATCGAGGTCTCGAGGCCAACTCCATGTGAGTGCGCTCTAGATCGCTCCATATGCTCTTAGGCTAATATGGGTTAGGATCTATGATGCGCTGGACAAGAGATATCTCCCAGTCTGGGTCAACCAAGACGGTAAGAACATGGGGAGTCATCTTGACCGAAAGATCGACTTTGCGATCGTGTTCCCAAGAGATCGGTGCGGAGCTCTATACCAAGCAACATCGCAGTCGTTCGGATACAATAACAACCCTTTCAAACGTGACGCTTCTTGTCACGAATTTGTTGGAATAGGGCTCGAGGTCAAAGACCATAACGGGTCTCCTGCTGATGCCGAAGGCCAAATCGGAATCTGGTGTGTAGCGTACTTTCAATGGCTGCGTACGAAGCGCACTACTGACACTCCACTTCCTCCGATGGTGGCGTGCACTATGGTCGGAGTAGCTTTCAACTTCTTTATTGCTTACGCAATCGAAGAACCAGAGCTGAAATCACTCAACGTGGTATGTATGCGCCTTCTCCCCGCTGGTCTTGACGGCTTGACGATCTAATACTCGTGGCTTACTAGATTATTTGGGGCCCACATCTCAAGCTGAGGGGTCTCCTTGACACTAAGGAAGGGATCACTCGGGTCCTGAACACACTTCAAGCTCTCTTCGATTATATCGAAGGAGACTTTATAGAGCAACTTCAGCGCCTACGTCCATGATGGTCGACCCTTTTGCTGCACCAAACCTCGTATGGCTCTACACAAGCATTATTATCCCTGGGAGGTTAGAACCTGGATCGGTCATCCGCTTGATACTTGTTGTATTTAATTTTAATGACTGGCTAAGAACCTTTTATACTGACAACTGGCGAATTCTCACGGTATAAAAATGACAATGGTAAAACTCTCTGGCATAGTCGCACCTAGCACCACCCACTGTCCTCCTCCCCCACCAACACTAGATTTTCTGACCGTGGTCATAATTTGCTAGTGCAGCAAGAGCTTCACTAAAAACGTGGTAAGTAAGGACAGGGGGAGAAATCGAGAAGGCCGACTGACCTGAATTCAGTGAGAGATCATTGTCCATATTAGCCCGGCCTTCTACGCCCATATAAGAAGCACCCGACTATTTACCCAGAATAATACTAAGAGTGTCTGCTACTTTCTTTACTTCTAACGATAAGTTCGTTAACTTTATCAGATACTATATACCCTTATTAGCGCTACTATGATTTAGTATAAATTATAGCTATCGGGTAAAGTATCTACGCTACCGTGCCTCTATCGCGCGAGAAAGCGTAGTAGTATTATTACTATTAGAAACTTATACTTTACGAAAGAGGAAGCTCGCTGTCGTATTATATAAAGCTAGCTATCTAGGCTAGTCTCCTCGTCGAGTATTCGCTAGTATATAGGCCGTTGAAAATATATAACGATTAGATAGGTATGTATGTAGGGCTATAAGTTGATAGAAAAGTAGGAGTACCGACCTATGTTAGGCCTACGTCGAACTCCGGTATCTTTAGCCCCCGACTAATCTCTAGTAGTATATTATAATAGTTTGTTGTTAGTGTACTTTATGGTCAATACGATCTATCCCATGACTACAATTTCTAACCGCGGTCAGAAATTCTAGCCGTGAGGTGGGCTAGTGCCGATGATGGTAGCAGAATATTGTATAATAATCAAATGGCTACATATGTATATATGCAGGACTATCGCTTTGTCCAAAATGCAGGTCGATACTAGTGCATTTCGGCCACTACAAAGATCTGAACTCCCACCTCATGATACCTGCTCGTTGCTCTGTAGTCTATGGCAAATACCATATTTCTGACCGCGGTCAGAAACTGGATATAATCTTCCTCTTACACATCTGCCACTCACACAAGTTCATATTCCTCTAGCTCGAGGTATTTAACCATCCGTTGCCTCCTGGCTGAACCATCTTCTGCATTTTCCTCGTCGTTTCCTACCTCCTACTATTATCTATCACAACCGGTATCTCGTTATTACTCGTGCTCCTCACATACTGACTTTTGACCACGGTTAGAAACTTCATCCTCCTGGCTGGTCGCTCACGTTGAATCCTAGGTTTGTGCACTGCTGACTCTGGCTCATTTCCCTGTTCCATCTTTACTAACCTGCTTTTAGTTCATCCACTTATCAACTCTCGATATCCCGCGACCTCTATCGCATTAAGCATGCATCCCTTGAGAATGTTGGCACTATCAATATCTCCACTGCCACTATCCGTCAGATGGACGACTCTGCCCCCGTGGTTGCAGGTATCCTCGGCTATCCTGATACCGCTAGCTTCTTCCGTCTCATCTCTACCGATTGCCCTGATACCCGTCAGATCATCATCGACCTTTTTCGTGACCGCGATAACAAGTTTGGCTTTGCGGATTCTGCCGAAGTCCCCCCCGGTCTTCGCTCCATCCGCAACTCTATGGTTATCATCGCTTTTAACCATTCCGCCAAGTACTCCGCCGCCCTCCTTGCAGAGTCCGCCTGCCTCTCTACTCCCCATTTTGAACCTGGCGATGTCTTTGATCTTCGTACGCTTTGGTACGTTCGCCGGCTTCTCCTATCCCGTGCGCAAGACCTTGGCCGACAGAGCCAAGTATTGACAACCCCTTTCAATTTCGAGGCCAAAGAGACCCTCATTTGCTGGAAGATCCTGGTCTACTTTGCTCGACGAATGGCCAAGGCGAAGAGTATCGACGCGTATCTCTCGAGTACACCCCATGTGCGTGTCGCTCTAAAGCCTGAACTTACCACATCCCGTTCCCTCGCCCCCGGTTCTATCTCTCTCCTTAGCCCTGGGCATGGTACGTCGGCCGAGTCTCACGATGATATCCAAGCCCCTCCAGGACGTTCTTAAACTCTACACCCCGGACCCTAATACTTCCAACTCAAACCCTCACTTGTAGAGATAGACATACTCATTTTCTCTAGCGATACAACAGGAGTTCGTCCATTCTTATCTCGGCCATGGGATCGAGTCCTTTATCTTGGAGAAGTATCAACCATGCATCAGAATGATAGGATCGGAGACCAGCCACCAGATGCAATAGGGACTGTTTATTCGCATCCTTCGCCATGATGTCATAGCCTGCTTTCTCAAAAGCATCGAGGACTTCATTGCCAATATCACTAAAGACCTCTTCATCACCGAAGTCGTCTTCGGACATACCGTCATATCCCGTCATGAAGAACAATTCTAGCGCCGTGGCATCATCCTTATTCCGCGCCTTCACGTCGACTCCACGGTCTATGAACACCTGAAGCAGACGCCTTTGTTCATCGCCCATTCGAACGCTCTCGCCTAGCATAGTCCCTCTGAGGTAATGAAGGGTGGTATTTCCACGGCTATCACAAACTAGCGGATCTGCGTTCGCAGCGAGAAGGTCGTAAACAGCGGTTTCATAATGGGTAATGGTAGAGGGAACATCCCTCTCGGACCAAGAGTATACACATCCCATACGTCGCAGCGCAAGCTGTAATGGATAAATTCCCGCCTTTGTGGGTTGGTTTATCAAGCTTGGGCAGTTCTTAAGCAAATACTTAAGCGAAATATCGATAATCAGGGGCTCGTAGCCGGTTGCGCGATTGAAACAGCTGAGAAGATGGTGAAGGGCGTTTTGTCCATAGTTGTCAACTGCGAGTAGGTCTGCTCCCGGGGCTATAAAGAACTCGAGCAAAGTCTGCCCCGTACAGACTGTACTACCTTGGCACTCAAATTTCTTCCATGGGTTGTCCGGTTGTGGGAATGGGTTATCACAGATTCCTGGAGACCTTGCAGAGCGCTAGAGGCTAGCATAGAAGCCGTCAACTGCACTATCCAGGCCTATCTTGCTTCGGCAGGCTGCGAGAAATAGAGTCTGGCCTTGCGGATCTCGCCGTTCAATATCCAGCCTATTGCCGAGAAATTCAATCACGGGCTGGACAAAGTGGCCTTTGACAAGCATTGCATGGATGACGCTGCAGGTACCTTCCTTTCGGGGAAAGCGAGGCTCATACTCCATGGCAGAGTCATCATCCCTTTCAAGGTGATTCGGATCAATCAGATCTTCTACCTCGTTGCTAGGAACTCCTTCCTCAAGCATTTTTCGTCGACGTTCACCCCGGAGCGCTTTCTCAACTGCTGCTCTGTGTGTCCGTCGGACACCGTGAAGATCTACGTCCTCATCAAGCCACTGTTCATCCGGAGGCTGCCCTGGAAAATAAGGTACATTTGGATGAGTGCGAATAAATTGAGGAAACAGTGCATATGGGTCAGCGCCATGCTCCAACAAGGCTGTCATGAGTCGCCCTGTCTTTCGTTTTTCGACGGTGCCTGATCTCGCCACTTCACTTTTGGCGGCCCTAAGAAGGCTGGGAAATTGATACTCGTCTGAGAAAAATTCCGGAGGCAGGACAGTCTGCATATCTGAAACGGCAGGGTCCCAGTCTATCACTCGGGCATTTGGATTGACGCCTGAAGCGAGCAGACTTTCAATGCTGTCGACGGAGGCATCGCGCACAGCATCGTACAGTTTGAGAGCACCAATATCTCGGATTCGAGGTGGCATATTGATCAAAAAAGGGTACAACTTGAGCTTAGTGCCAGTACTGGTGCCTGCACCTGTCTGTGTCTTGGCTTGGCAAAGAGTCTTAGTCTAATATTTACTCGATATGTGAGTCAGAGTATCTTTTTTGGAGGGATTCAGATTGCGTCAGCTGGATCCAGTAGAGTGGAGGTGCCACTAGGCAACGATGGAGTGTAGATCGTACTTAGGGTTGTGTGTTGGAGCACGATAATTGATCGCCTACTACCAAGACTACGTGACGTATACCTACCTATGTATCTACATTAGGTATGTAGATGTAGTTATGCGCCAATCTTTGGAGGATGCAGGTCAGGTCTGAGATGGACATAAGCTGGCTGGGGGAGGACAATGAGCTTTGCTATGGCATATACAATAATCCCATATCCCTCCAAGGCTCCTTCAGGGTCCACAGCAGAGCTGAGAATGCTCGGATCTAAGATCATCACAGAACCGAGACATGCATGACCCAGTCGAGATCAACATTCGCGTCTTTGAGGTCAGGTGAAACCCCGCCAACAGGTAATAGGTCCGCAGACACGAGCCGTGTTTCAGCTCAAAGCACGCAGATAAAGAGATCAAGATGTGGATCAGCGCAAGGCAGAAAGATGCACACATAAGCCACGGGACGTGAGTAGTAGGCAAGTTGTACGCGTAGATACTAGTCCTGGTCGCCTGGTACTTTCAAACCCAGTACTGGCCCCAAAGCCCTTTCGCCTCTTCGGTGCCGTGAAACTGAAACTCGACGGGGATGATATCATCAAAGCCCTCGTCCAGCGTTGGGGTGCGGAAGCGGCGGGCGAAGTCGCCGAAGGCGATGCCGGGAAGGGAGGTTCGGGATTCGGGGTTCTGGTTGGAATAAGAATGAGGACGAGACTGAGATGGAGATGGGGATATAGCCAATACGTACCAGTTCTTTGTTGGACGCTCGGACGGCGTTGTTATGCCGGCATAGCTCTGGTGTTGAGATAAATAGTACGCAACGGATGGGGACGCTAAGCTCTTTTGCGAGAGCTGTCCAGTGAGCTCGCGTTTCTGGGTCGGCGTTGGTGTTATCTAGGTGATAGTCGGGTTAGATCGCTTGTGAACCGAAGCTGAAGCTAAGGTAGAAATAAATGCCACGACGTACCGACTGCCACGGACTTCTTCGCTTCCAAGTACTCGCGGGCTACCTTGAGGCATTTCGGACGCTGTTGTTCATCAGCATTCGATTTCGGTTTCATCTCGGAGTTAGTTATAACGCGTACCGTCTTGAGAATATCTTGGTTGACTCGTCCATAGCCTAGAGGCTCCAAGTGGTTCCAGTAGAAAGTGGACTTCCCGGCACCTGGGCTGCCGCAGAAGATAACAAGTTCAAGTTGGTGCTTGCGAGTAAATGGTTTGGCTGCGATGAAGACCAGTCAACAATCTGCCAGAGTTGGGTTTCTTGCGGGGAATATCAAGTTCATTGGAAGTAAAAAGACAGTACATACCCGGCTCTTCGAGATCTGATTTCACGAAGGACATAGGGTCAAAGCCCATCGTCGCCGGCTCCGTAATCTGCCCGAGGAAGAACTCCTCCGGGGTTTTGAATGGCATACCGATGTTGGTAGCAAGTCCCCTAGGGCCGAGATCAGACTTTGTCACAACATACTACCAGGTATTATGCTCTTACCGATCCACAGCAGAATGATCACCTGGCCTTCCAGCCGCATCACCGACGAAAACCGACGCGGGCAAGTCAACACCCGCAACATCGAGATCATAGTCGTCCAGGAACTCGCGCCACATCCCCAAACGGGGTTTCCTATATTCGGGGTCTGTGGTGGCCGCGTAGACACTGACGGGGAAACCCAGTTCGGTCATGACAGCGGTCATCTTCTCCTTGAAGTTCGACAGACTTTTCGAGTCACTCCGTCCACCCTTGATATCCTTCTGGACACTGATCTTCTTTTGGTTAGAGAAAATCACAACTTGGAAGCTGTCAAAGTATAAGCTTGCGTGAACCCAACTAATCCTATCCCTCGACTCTGGACATACCCTTCAGCATTGAGCTCCTTCAGTCGGCCCGGGACTTTGGCATTCCACCATTGCCAATCAGTGGCAGACTTGGGAAAGACATTGCCCGATTTGGTTTTGATCAGGGTTGAATCCTATATATTGGCGTCAGTTGGGCCCTCCAATTTGACACTACCTGTTTTCAACCACTGACCAAATCAAAGCCAGCGATTCGGCGCTGTTTCTCGGTGGGAGGGACTGCCTTGTCCGTTATTTGCTTTCCAATGATAAGACTCGTGCCGATGACGCGCCATGTGATGGGTTCGGGCTTCTTCTGCGAGGCCGGGGTGAAGAAGTCTGCCGCCGACTTCTCTGTAGGTTAATTTATATTAGCGGGTGCAACACACTACTGGATAGTAAAGACTCACTGGTTACCGTTGAGTCAACCTTCCGGCGCAATGGCGGTGGAGAGATGGCTTGGGTGGGGGAGGCGCTTCTCTTGGCTGCCCCCTCGGCCATTCTGGCAGTTCGGGTGAGTGAAAACGTGGTGAATGTTGGACAGGTAGATTTAAATGTGTGTTGGTTGATTCGATCAGTCTTCGCCGTGAGTTGCAGTTGCATCCGAGATATGGTTGGACGCGCCGAGACGCGGGAGAAATCACGAAGTCACATGTTCTTGAACATTTAAAGTGAACATTCTACAGCAAGTTGTGTGATATATAAATATATAAGAAAAAATTGGTTAGGAGGCAGGACGGTCTCCTGAGAAAGAAGTGAACTCGGAATAACTCATTTTAATATCCCGGAAAGTGAGAAAGGATGTCACGGCGCTTGAACGCACTCAGATGAGTCGATCCGATATCTGATCCGCAGTATTTGGCTATTTTTCTTGGGGCCTGGAATTCTTTTCCTTTTTATTTGGCTTTTGTGCTTATAGGTTACGAAGTCCTACACGTATATGTACCTGGACAGGAGTATATGCGTTGTCGGCCTTTTACTTATGGAACAATAGGAATCCTTTTTGGTCATGTATGTCTCTGTATTCCCTCTTACCTTGAAAAGAGGAATGAAAATATCCAGTGGACTAGATTGCTATGATGGGTATAATTCTTCTTTTCCTCCCAATAAAAATAAGTTCGACATGTCTATCAACGCCATACCGTCGCTGGAGACCCGGGTATCTCCCTAGTCTCCAGCATGCTCAAACGAACCGAAGTAGGAGTGGCCATCTACTTCGCCCGCGTATCAAGGGACAGTCGATCTGCCTGTTCCAGGAGAACTGCTGACTTCAACTGCTCGCGCAGACCAAAGAGATGCTGCGAGGCAGTCTTCATCGTCTCCTGGTTGCTACCGTCTTGAACAATGATGAAGGCCTGCAGCACATAGCTCCCGCTCTTCTCAAATAGAGTCATATCCTTTAAAGCAGGCAGCTGCCGCCGGGGCAAGCTCAACTCATCCCCACCGGGGTAGTGCAGCACGCGATGCAAGAAGATAGCAATGTCATTGTGGATGAACATATCACCTTCGACCACATACTCAGTAACGAAACTAGAACAGACAGGGTTAGTGCCCGCGATCATAAGATCAACCTCGGTGGCGCCACTCACTTGTAGCCCCACGCATTCATAGCTTGCACCACATCTCCCCGCGGCAGCGTCGCGCTCGACATCAGACGCGATGTAACCGCTGAGCGGGTGCCAGCTTCAGGGATATCACGAAACTCCAACTTCCATGGTTGACGTTCATAGTCGTAAGAGGGAGATGATGAAGATCCATAAGGTTTCGAGTCATCCATGCCAGCCATCTGAGTGTCTTGGTCGACGGGAGCAGTGGATCCGAAATCTGATTCGGAAACCGGACCAACCACCTGGGTGTAGTACATGTTCCCATTGAGCATCTTGTTCAGCCGTTGCAGGTCCCCCTGTTGGAGGTCCTGACTGGCTCCGGTGCGCCCCGCCATACCTGGTTTGCGGTAGGCCTTGAAGATCAGCCGCCGCTCTAGGCAATGGCGGGGCTGCATGGCGGTCAATCCGGCAAGCTGCTGAAGAAGCTCATGATGTTGGTGGACTGGAACCGAGGCGAAGAGCGACTGCTCGTGCATATTGTCTGATTTGTGGTAACGGGTGAAGTCGGGATGTGTTTTCAGGGTCCAAGCTTCAGCCTGCCAAGGAACGTTATCAGCAAGATCAGACTATTTGATGTGTCGCAGCTATTGCTAATAGCGTCTAATGGGCCTTGTTTGTTCTGTTTGATTTGATTTATTTCTTGGCAGTTGTGTTCAATGGACTTTTCCGAAATATTGGACACTTTCCCGATGCTCGTGAACCCCTCAGGAATATCAATTCCGGTGCAAGGATGACTTGTCAAGGATGTTATCCAGTCAGGAAGATTGGACCTTTGTCTCCGGGTGCGGGGGAGGTCTAAGCTGTGTGGGACAAATAAGCTTGAATGGTCTATGGGGAAGACTTGCCAGGCAGTTCAAAGAGGGATGATGATTGGCGGATTGGAGATTTCAAAGAAGGGAAAAGGTAGGTGTTCGGCACTGAAAAGGCACCAAAAATGAGGAGGAGCTCATGAGGAGTTCACCGGAATCACAGACTGGGAAAGGATCGGAGAAGAAGATGGCTTCACAATGGGGAAACACGGAGTCTGCTGCCAAGATGGAGGCTGCATCGGAAACTCCTCCGGACGCAAGTACTTTGAGTAGGACTAAAGTGCATAGAATATTTCAGTTCAAGGAGGACATGGCGTGACATACATGTGTATGTTGTACTCGGTACTCGGTGATATTCCAATACCTCGTACTCCGTCGATGTAGATGTACTCGATTATACCGTGTAAATCGTGCAAGCAGTTTACCCGGCTCCGAGTCGGCTTGTCCCAAAGCGGCAGCTCTTCCCTTCTTATCTTCTCGCCTTTTCCCTCTTCCCCTCCTCTCTCAGCACTAATTCTTTACTCTTCACCTTCTCTATACTCAAGCCTCTCTTATTACGTTCAGACCCCCCATAACTCACTCTCTTGTTGTGTGACTCGTCCCTCTCGGTCGGATTCGGATACTACCGGACCCGTTCAATTTCGCACAATCCCGCGTCAAATTGATCTTACCAACCTCCCACCTCAACACACCTAATAACTACATAACTATCACAATGCGCGCCACTTCCATCCTCAGCGGTACCGCCCGCACTCCCCTCATTCGCTTCGTTGGCAAGCGCTCCGTCCCTAGTACGTGATATTCCCCATTTCCGAGCTCCAAATCCTCCAGACATGAACTAACCTCATGTTCCAGAGTCCATCGACCACTCTCCTCGCGTCCACCCCGCCTCTCCCACCGGCTCGCTCCCTGACTCCTTCGCCACCTACCGTGCTAAGGCTCAGCAGCACGGCCCGCTCGGTCGCTCTTCCTTCAACAGCACCATCGGTGGCACCGCCGGCGCCTCGCTGGGCCCCGTCAAGCCCCAGAGCGGCGAGTTCTTCGATCGTGCTGAGCTCCCCTCGCGCTTCGGCCGTCTACCCTGGACTCAGGCCGAGATTGATGCCATTGAGACTGGCGGCGCGAGCATGTTCGCATAAGCGTTCCCTCGGGCGAAATATAAAATTTCCTCAAAATGTATGAATGGGCAATGATACTTCCTATGGAAGTTGCGTGATGAGCGAGCTTGAGTTTTGAGTCTCGAGTCTCGATTTTGGAGAAGTTGAAGCGCGGTCACGATCTTGACTTCGGCCGACCGTGGCATTGCCAATGCCTTTGCGGTCGCTGGGACACAGATCCGATGCTTGCTCACTCGTTCCGAGAGTTTCCGAGACCAAAAAATCTCACTTTATACCTTGTTGCTTGTGATGGTCAGCGGCCATTTACAAGGACGTCTTTCTCTAGCGGTGATGCTTTGCCGCCCTTTTTTTCACTTTCGGTGTTCTTTTCACTCGTTGTACCCGGCGCTGGTGGTTGATTTTTCTCGGTGTTCTATTTTTCATGAGCAACATGCAGCTGTATCGTCTTGATGTCGAAAAGGCGGAGTCGTGTTCGTTTTATACATAGATTGTGGTCAGGACTTGGGATTCTTGTTACGTACATAGGCTCTGTGAGCGCTATTCGAAGAAATGAATTTCTCGAGCTTTTCTAATAAACGCATAATACTTAGAATATAGACTAGGAGCTATAGAGCTATAGAGCTATAGAGCTATCGAACTATACTCTTAGCATTAAGTATCAAGGATAGAAAGGTACGTGGTCTCAAGCACGTGCCTCCCCGACTCAATCCGACCCTTGTCTACTTCCCATTCCGAGGTCTGATTGAACATGGCCTCCCATATCAGCGAGACGAATAGGTTGACATTCCGGGAGACAGACGAGGCTGGAAATCCTACTGCAACCTACATCTACTCGGGAGATGTCGCTTCCTCGGTCACTTCCTCAAAGAGATCGGGCCGAGTCGACGTAATAGTAAGTGGTCATTTTTAATCTCCATTGTACTTTCCTACTGGAGGTAAAGCGGCACGCGGACAAGTCAATTCCAGATATGTGTTTCATCTTGCCTACCAGCAAGCCAGCATCCTGGTTAATGCCCAGGGATGCCTTGCCAATCCCTTCATAATAGACACAGATGCTCTGTCTTGATTTAGTACATGAATTGTGTTCACTGAATTTCGGTCTATGATATATCCGTTCCAAGATTCGGACAGACTTACAAACGCTATATCAATACCCCAGAGTTTTCGATCTTAGCTGACCTAGTATAACAGAGCGCGTCTTCATCTACCTCATCATGGTCAGCCAAGCCTCTAGTCAGCTCGCTGACTGATGTCTTTCTTCCTTCTGGATACCCCCAAAGTGTCAGCGATGACTATCTCCCGTGAGTACAGACAGGAGCCTGTTGAAATGCATGAAACATCCCTGATCTACCAAAAACATGCTAATGCTAAACCCAGATATCAAATCTTTGTGAGCATCCAATCCCCGGCGGCCAGAGACAGAAACCTTACGGCTCGAAGTACCTTGCTCTACCATACCAAAAGCAATATGAAAGATACACCCAGAACCCAGAACTGACACGACCAATTCACCGCGAATAGGACTCCCTTCAAGCCTTCTGCAGCTCAATAGCAGGCCTCCTCTCCTCCCGAGCCGTTCTCCAAGGTCTATATCCCATCCAACCCAACTTGCAAGCAACTAACACCCAACCCAACACACAGGAGTCGGCGTCGGCAACGCCAACGCCTCTCCAACCTCCGCACTGCTCCTACACATCCTCCAAGATATATCTGGCCGCATTGCAACGATCTGTTTCGCCCACCACATCGGCACAGCCCTCGAGCCAGAATGTAAAACCTACCGGCTAGCAGCAGACGTCTTCAACGATATCGCCATGATCCTCGACTGTCTCTCACCGGGTGTACCCGCCGGACCGGCGCGGGTGACTGTCCTCAGCACAGCCGGTGTCCTCAGGGCCCTCTGCGGCGTAGCCGGGGGTAGCTCGAAGGCGAGCTTGAGTGCCCATTTTGCCAAATGGGGGAATCTGGCGGAGCTTAATGCCGTATGTGTCCTCAAATTCCCGTGATGTATTTGTCTTTTAGAAATTGATAGACAGAGCTAACTACAACTGCATTGCCGTGTAGAAAGACTCGTCTCAGGAGACTGTCATTTCTCTTTTCGGCATGCTGGTAAGCATCCCCATCCCTAATCCTCTTCATCAGAAACCAACCCCCAAACCAAAACCCACTAAGCAAGAATCCCACCCTAACCACAAACACAGGTCGGATCCGTAGTCATATCTCACATAACCAGCTTCAGCACAACATGGCTCATCCTCCTAATCCTCCTAGCCCTCCATCTAAGCATGAACTACGCCGCCGTGCGCGCCGTACAAATTACAAGTCTGAACCGACAGCGCGCGAACATCGTCTTCTCAGCACTCCTCGACTCAGACATGAGTCTACGGCTGGAGCTCGAAAGTCTGGAACTGGACCTCGATCTCGATCTTGAACTCGATCCTACGCCAACCGCATCCAAAAGCGAATGGACAATCCTTACACCAGCACAAGTAGCCAAGCACGAGCGCATCTTCCACCGAGACGGAGCGTTACAGTGGACGCAGCACTCGAGCACGCATACAACAACCCAGCATCTAGGATCTGCGCAGATAGGCGTATCGATGTCTACATTCCTCGGTTCCAGGTCCGGTTCCAGATCGTTCCAGCGCGCCCTCCCGCTGCAGCGACTTGCGGGTGTTTTCGCGGATGAGTTCTATATATTGTTTCTCGTGCCGTCGGCTACGGGAGGGAATGCGAAATGGCATGCTTTTATTCTTCTGAAACGGGGCTGTGCTGTTGAGCATCAGTTGAAGGCGTGGGCTCATGCTTTGCTGGCTGCGAGGGCTTTGGCCCGGATTATACCGGGCTCTTCTGTTGATGTAGTTCTTGCTGTTGTTGAGAGGACACTTGTCTTGCTGAATACTGATGCACGCTTTGAGAGATATTTGGCGGGGCTGAGTGGTGTCGGGTGGGATGTTAATATTGCGGCTTTGGAGACGAGGGCTGGACGGAGGATTGATTTTTGATATTGTATTTGATACTGGTTTACTTTACTTCGTCTATCCTTGCTTTGGCCTTTATCTTTCACCTTTTACCCAAAATATTACACACGCCCGGGCTTATTCCTATAACTACATGTAGTAAATGTAATGAACGAAGTCACATCAATGAGGACCCATCCTCTGGCACAGTGCCGAAGACATTTAAAATTAATCTCCAAAGGGTTGGGGAGGGGTTACGTGTCCATCTGTACTACAATCCTTGAAAGTCTATATGTACGTCTCCCCGGGCTCTCGGGCGACATGTCTGAGTGTGGGTGTCCGACGTGTGTGACCAGGAGGATCGAGAAAGGTCTAGGCGAGACTCTTTCTTCCGGGTTTAGAAAGGAATACTCGGTTGCCTGCTCGGATGACGGGTAGTACTTTCCACGAATTGAGACATATTGAGAATGTACGAGTCGAGGTCTTGGTTTTGGTTGTTGGGTTTGGAATTGCCCTAACGGTCGAATGCATGGCCAATGTAGGTCTGCGTAGAGAATTCAAGGCTACGGACACTAAGTATACATATGTAGTTTATACTTTATTTACGGGTTCTACTGTTTGGAAGCAAGTGGTGGGAAGAGGGGTATCAAGTCTATTGATTCCGAATAAGATAAATCCCAGTGGGAGATGAGAGACCAAGACAATGTCTCGACAAAAACGCCGTGTCCAGAAGACCTGAAAAGCCAACAGGTCCTCTATCCAATCTATAGATGAGAAAATGATATGATATATATGGGTTTCTTTTCCCGTGATGCCATTCGCCGCCAAACAAAGAATGAAAAACCATGAAAAAATGACAAGTGAAGTTGGAAAATAGGATGCTCAGCCGGAGACATCCCATAAGAAATGAAGATAATGAAAGAAAACGCCGGTTTCATATGCTTTCAATGCGTCATGCTCTCATACACCGCCAATATAAACGCTCGACAAAGGCTAGAATGAAGTCGTGGGCTGATGCATTTCGGTATTTCATGCAAGATATGTTGAGATGAGAAGTGTCGTTGCGGAGTTCGCAGTTGTCGTGACTGAGGAGACAAAAAGGGTGTGGTTTGTAGGTCTTGTAAATGTCGACCAGAGTGGGGGTCAAAAAGGGAGTAAAGAGAAGACAATTAGTCGTCAAGACCAAGAATCTTAGGATCGCGAGTACCACCACTGCTGCCTCCAGCGGACCGCTTCTTAAAGCCAAGCTTCATACCCATCTTCTTCCAAGGGTTCTCGGTGCGAAGCCTGGGGCTTTGAATGGGCAGATGCGGCTCGCTGGCAGGCGGGGTGGTGGGCGGCGTCATGGGCTCTTCGGCGGTGGGACTTGACTGTGGGGAGCCAGAGTCATCGGTCAAAGACAGGTACGCCGACTCGCCGCTGGTGCTGACAAGGGCACCGGAAGTGCGTTTGCCGATAGCATGCACGGCGCCGAGAGACATGGTTGAGCGGTTGTGACCCGTTGCGGGAAGATCCTTGGTTGACGATTGCGGGGAGATGCGCTTCGACACGCGCGACCGCACCCTTTTCATCGGGTGCTCGTCATAGCTCGTCGACGATAGACTCATGAAGTCGTCGGGCCCAATGAAGGGTTCGGAGGGCCCCATTGAGGGGGAGGTGGTGTGGCTGTTGACGAAGGGGAGGAAGATGGATTCCTCCATCAAGTCATGGATGCGTTTCACGGCGGAATCTAACGTCTCAGGCACGGGCGGTGCAGGCACATTCTTGTACTGCAGGAGCGCATCTCGGACTTCGCTCGACAGGTTGATCTCGCGCGGCGACCCCGGGAAGATGTATGCAGTCAATAGGCGTTTCCAGAGCATTCGCAGGTGCTGGCTTTCAGGGCAATCCGATTCCAAAGCGGCGGGACCAAGTCGTTCGGCCAGAGCGTAGTAGGAATCCCGGTATCGGTTGGCCTCCATGGTGAATTCCAAGGTTTCGAGACAATGGTTCTGGGAGAGGTAGGCCATGAAGGCGCTCAAGGTGTATGGGGGAGGAGCAACGTTGGCCAGCACCTCGTCGAGCGTCGGGCGCATAGAGAAGGCCCCCGACGAGATAGCCAGGCTGACCGGCCGGGAGCCAGATGATTCCATATCCTCTTCAGAGTCGCTATCTGAGGAGGTGGGGGACAATTCGGGGGTTACGGTAGGAGTTTGGTTCCGGAAGAAGAGGGACGGAGCCAACGTCTTCTTTTTAAGCATAGCGTATAGTGTGCGTCGGGGACCCTTAATCGGCTTTTTTCTAACCGGCCGTCCCCTGCCTGTGGGACGAGGCTCCAGCTTGTTAATAGAGCGGCAGGTTATCGGGATACAGGCATATAGAATTCGGAACACAGGTAGACACAGTAGAATGCCAGGGATGAGAGGGTAGGGTGTGTGTGGTTTATAGAGGTATAAAATGAGATAATGAGGGAAAAAAGAGACCAAGCGGAAATCAAAGCACTAAAGAAGAGGAATAAAAAGGGCAAAGGGCGGATTCTGGAATCATTCATGACGATACCTTGGGTAATGGGTTACGGGGGGCACCTCAGTAGACTCAAGTGGACCTAGATGGGGACGCTAAACTAGTTCTGCGCCCAAGTGGAGTCTTCTTTCGATAAGATGTCATAATTTGTTTTTTTCTTTTTCTTTTCTTTTCTTCCCTTTTTCGTCTTTTTCACCCTGTTTTTCTCTTCTCAATTTCTCAATTTGGATTATTTCAGCCTTTTTTTCTCATGCAATTTTCTTATTGGTTTTGACTTTTGTCTTATTGTGGCGACACGCTGAACTCTCACGTTTGAACAAGCGCCTAAGATCTGCAAGGGATACTTTGAAAATGTAGCAGTACAACACTACTGTTGAGATTAAAATGCGAAGATGAGAGCACCTCCAGATCCGACTAAGTATTATGTAACCTGCATGTGTCTGTCCTTGTTTTAATCACCCCATAATCCTTCCAGAAGTCATACGTGTAAGCTTCCACGGGTTCTGGAAAAAAAACGACCAATGCACCGCCCAACGTGGCGAGTTTGAATTTTCCCCTGAACTCCACCACGGAACACGAGGAACTCTTCCTTGATTCGAGATACTTTTTATACAATTCTACGGAGCGCTCCAGTACAACGCATTGTCCATATTCTATTTCCTTTTGAGATATAACTCTTACTATGTACTTCCAAATTCACGATAACCTCTTATCTCCCGGCCGCTAGCACGCCATCCGAGACCGGAATGTCAATCCTCGACCCACGGTTCTGTAGTATTATAACAGCATGACCAGACCGATACCAATAAAATACACGATAAGGCCGTGTCACGGCATTCCCTCCCTTGCATCGAAGGTACTCACTTTTCCAAGGTTTGTCTTGCACGTCATCCAAAACCTCCCCTGTCACCTTAATCAGTTACATAACCAGATACCCTTGGAAACCCAAACATATCAAATAATTTAACATTGGCACACTAGTTAGGGCTTGTGTTCAATGCCGATATGGCCCTGCCGATCATTCCACACCCGGTTCTGAGGGAGATCATTCGTACCACTGGAATGTCACACAAGCTTGTCTTTGATGTCTCTCTATAATTAATACATACTCGGGACTCGTGGACGCATATGTGGAATTCACAGGGATTAGGCGAGGCACAATGTGCAACGTACGAAAGAAAATATATTAGCCTTGATTTGGTGGAGGCGAAAGATGGTAGGAAGCCGACTTGGAATAAACTATGAAAATGGGAATATAGTCTAGAAATCGGGTTTCAGTTGGCAGCTCTTTTGGGTCTATAGCAGCACTCTAGAAATAGAGACAGAATTTTCAATTGAATGCTACTCTATAGTATACAATATACGTGTAGTCTAAACTGCTATATCCTCAGAATAACCTGTGCGACCGCAGCCGGAACTGCCCAGACCTTCTAGAATTCTAGAAAACCCCGTCGAAGCACTTTAGTTCTGCTATCCACCCGATCGCCACATCCGTAAATCTTGAAAAAAAAAAGTTAAGACATTAAGACATTAATATAATGAAAAATGATCTGACCCCCTGAACGGACTCAAGTTCCACAGTCACCCATAAAATCAGAGTTTTCTTTTGTAGATCCGGATGTCGCCACTAATGATTCATGTTCTGTTTGTCTCCCGAGTCTACCCACTTGACAATATTGTAGGACGCACACGCATTTCTATGCATGCCAAGCCAACATCCCTCACGGTTGACATGGAGATCGTTGCGTCCTATTTTTTCCCCGAGACTATAGAGTACGATGTTTGGCCGAAATAATGGGCTCATACCTTGCAATATAGCCCACATAAAAGTGGGTGGGTGTACTGCCGATTGAAACCGAGGGCCAAGACTTGGGAGCTGGAGAGATCTGTCCGGAGGCTTCAGGGACCTCCGGTGTTGTCGATCCACTTCTTCTCGTCTTCTCGTAGATAAGATATTCTACAGAGCAGTGTCTATAATGACATTATCAGTTGACATGATTCAGACATACAACATAGATTGTGTCATAGACATTTCTGCACGAACGCTCTGGGCCAGGATAAGGTTGCTGTTAACATGGCTCTTTGAAGCTTGGTTCTTTCATCATCACACATTTTGACTTTGACAGCTAGCGTGTACACCCGGACGGAGGCTAGAACACGATACAATATTATTTTAATAGATCATACGGACTAGGTTACGGAGAGGCAAATTGGATCATCCTTATTACTTACCATTACTGAGTCCATCTCAAGGTCCAGACTAATAGTAGAACCAACTATCATTGCAACATCGACGGTCAGATAGCAAAACCGTCAATCTTTTCTTTCCGTTATGCAACTAACAATTCAATCGGTGCACAGACCGTTAGAGGAACTGTCATATGTTGTACAATAGAACAAGAGAACAACAACATCCTACAGCGTGCAGATAGATAGGTAGACGGACCACCGCCGGGATTCACATACGTTGCAATGCAATACAACAAAAAGCAAAAAGAAAAATGTGCAGCAAGACAGCGCGCCAACCCAAATAGCACCTCTAT